CGACATCCTGATCTATAGCAAGACACTAGAGGAGCATGCCGAACACTTGGCGAAGGTGTTTGAGAAACTAAGGGAACACAAACTGTATGCTAAAGAGAGCAAATGTGACTTTGCTCAACAAGAGGTAAAATTTCTCGGGCATGTGGTGGGCCAGGACGGGCTCAAGGTGGACCCGGAGAAGGTCCAAGCGATCTAGGAATGGGAGCGACCATCGAATGTACATGAGTTGAGGGCGTTCTTGGGGCTATGCAACTACTACCGAAAGTTTATCAAACACTATTCGAGAGTAGCCCTGCCCTTCACGGACCAAACCGGAAAAGGGAAGATGGTATGGACAGCGGAATGCGAGGTGGCATTCGTCCACCTCAAAGGGAAGTTGAGGAAGGCTCCCGTATTGGCATTACCAGACTTTGGTAAGGACTTTGAGGTAGAAACGGATGCTTCGGACTTTGCGTTGGGCGCAGTTTTGAAGCAAGACAACCATCCAGTAGCGTTCTTCTCGAAGAAGTTGGACAAGGCTCAATGGAAGTGGCCTGCCCACGAGAAGGAATTGTTTGCGGTGGTCAAGGCGCTCAAGGAGTGGCAACACTACCTTGGGAGACACTTCAAGGTTTACACGGATAATGTGGCAACGAAACACTTCTTGTCACAGCCCGACCTAAGAGGGAAACAAGGTCGGTGGGCCAATGCCTTGGCCGAGTTTGATTGCGAAATTCTGTACAAGCCTGGGAAGAGCAACATCGTGGCGGATGCGCTAAGTCGAAAAGCGAGCTTGAGGTTGGCAATATCCAGCGCAACAGCAACCTTCTGGGACAATGTGCGGACAGCATATGAGAACGATGGTCTAGCACAAGAAGTGTTGCTAAGGAATCTGGAGGCACGGGAAGCTCACCAGAGAGGTGAGCTGCCAACGGAAGAGAAAACGGGCTATGCGGAATGCAACAGACTCATCTATTACAAGCAAACGAGGGTGTATGTTCTAGAAGGGGAATTAAGGAAGGTAGCCTTAGAAGAGTGTCATGACGGACCTCTTGCGAGACACGGCGGAGTGCCCAAGACAATGGGCTTACTCAAGAGGAAGTACCATTGGCTAGATATGGCTAAGGATGTCCAAGACTATGTAAAGACATGTCCAACATGTCAGCAGGTCAAAGCCGTGACTAAGGCTAGTGAGGGCTTGTTGCAAAGCATCCCAATTCCAGATCGTCCGTGAAAATGTCTTATGATGGACTTCATCACGGGACTTCCCCCAAGCGAGGGGTTTGATGCGATATTCGTGGTGGTGGACCGATTTTTGAAAATGGCACATTTCATACCCACCATAACAGAAGTGGATGCGGAAGGTGTGGCGAAGCTGTTCTTCGAACAAGTGGTTCGAGTACGGGGAAGGCCGGAAGAGATCATCTCAGATCGAGATAAGATCTTCACTAGTAGGTTCTGGAGGACTCTCTTGGAACAGTATTGCACCAAGTTGAAATTCAGCACAGCGTATCACCCATAGACAGGTATGGGGTATTAAGTCAAGTTTGGTGGCACTAACACTTCTTGACAGACGGACAAACGGAAAGGGTGAATAGGCAGCTGGAGGATTATTTGCGATGCTATGTCTCGGGAGACCAGACCGATTGGGTAAGTCATTTGGGACTTGCGGAAATGTGTTATAACAACTCACCACATTCAAGTATCGGGGTGAGTCCATGGGAAGTCATCAATGGGTGAGCTATTGAAGGTCCTGTGGAACTCGGCGTGGCCGAGTATCACGAGAGTTACCTGCAATGGAGGCATTCACAGCGGAAAGACTCAACATTTGGAATCTAGTGAGGGATTCCTTGGAACGAGCTCAACAAAGGCAAACTAAGTACGCGAACCAGAAGCGCCGGGATGTAGAGTTCCAAGCTGGGGAGAAGGTGTGGTTGAACACCAAGAACCTCAGGCTACCAAGTGGGATCAGCCGGAAGTTGACCCAAAGGTAAAAATGCATGTATTCCTGTAAATGAATTGATCTTGAGTTCCTTAAGCAGGTTCACGGGGCCTTACGAGATTGAGGCTCGAATCGGTAAAGTGGCTTACCGACTCCGACTTCCTCGAGAGATGGGGAAGATGCATCCCGTGTTCCACGTGAACTTACTCAAGCTGTATTTTGAGGATCCGCTTCGCAAGGACCAAGTAAGACCTTTACCTGAGGTTATCCAAAGGGAAGAGGAATACGAAGTCGAGGCCATCCTTAATGCGCGCAAGAGCAAGTGACAAGGACGCGAGGGAGAGAGTTCTATGGAAGTGAA